TGTCTGCCTCACAGACTAAAACTGGTATTTATACAGCTATTATTTCATACATATGAAAAATGAAGAACAGATAAGCAGATCATGGCTTGTATAATTGTAGGTGACCGCAGACAGGAGTCCTCTGATTGGTCAAATCTCTATCCACTTTACTCGTGCTTATTTCCTGTTTGGTACCTTACTGGCTTGTTTTGTTTGTATGACCTCCATTGTGGATAACGACTTGTTAAGTTAGACCAGCTAGAAGAGCGAGGTGCATGAAAAAATCTTTAATTTCTTTAGAGATAGCATGAAAACTCAGCTGAGTACAAAACATAGAGAGGAAAACAAAAAGAAAAGGGATAAGAAGAGAGGGACAAACATAGAATAAATATAGAGGCATATGTATATCTGTTCTATTCAAAATGTCTTTATCTGTATAATGTGTCTGTTTTATGTCTTGTCTTGTCAATTCAGAGGGCCCCATGTCTGTTGTTGCCTAGGGCCCCAAATTTCCTAAATCCACCCCTGACTGTAGGATGTATAGAATAGAAATAATGAAGCTTTATCTCAGTTTTATGGTCAAAGCTTTCACAGATTTAGTCTTTTCTTGCCAACAGGTGAATATTTCAAACATTGAAAATGAAAAGTGAATAAATGAATATCATGTTTATCTTTTTTATTTTCTTCCACAGAGGAAAAATACTCCTTGGCAAAAACCCGGCAGCTTTCCTCTCCATTACAGACTTACAGAGATGCTCCAACCAGACCGCTGGATGAGAGACCGAATCAGTCTCCAAATTCTGGATCAACTCCAGAGACACAAGTCCTGAGTGAAAACAGTGAAACAGGACACACAGGTGGGTGCTTTGGTTTATTCTGCAAACAGTTACTGTCACATGGTTAATTATCAAATTATATGTTTCAAACTTTTTCACATTTTGTCAAATTGAACTTTTATTAATTGCAGGAGGATTTTATGATGTAGAAAAGGTTTCTTAGGGGTAAACGGTATAATGAAGACAAAGAAGCACATCGGAAAGGTCAGGGATAAATTTAAAGCAGGGCTGAGTCACAGAAAAGAACAAAACCTTTAAAAATGTCACTTTTATATTCACCTTTAGGAAAAGTGGAAAGTATACGGCACAACTGTGTTGTAGATCTGTTAAAACATGGCTGCTCATCTAAATTAAAAGGTTTGGTTATGAGGAGAGGCAATATAACTGTGGAAGAGCAGCAGAGATGTGCAGCTAAGGGAGAAGAATCCATGCAGGATGCAGCCTCAAATTGCAAAAAAAAAAGAAGAATTCAAAATATTTTGTTAAAGGTATAGTGGAGGTTTTTCGCAATTTTTTTGAAAAGACCCGTATATGCACAACTTTGTACCCGCTCCCGATTAAACGCTGTTTAAAAGTTGCTGTTTGCATCGCTCATACAAGCTTAATTTCCAAAAGAAAATTTGCAATTTTTCTACTATGTAAGGGGATTTGATGGGGATGAACACGTAGGACGGCTTTACATAAACATATCACAAGAATGAATGACAATTAGGAGGGCCACTAATTTTGATGATCCACCAATATACCTTTAAACCTTCTACATTTGGAGTCTCATTTGTGGATTATCATAAGCCATTGAGGAAACTTGCTGTATGCAACACAAGGTTCTTGCCCCACAAGCAAGATGCTAAGTGTGGTAGAAAGCTAACATGTGCAAAACATGGTGGCAGTGGTATCATGCTGAGGGGGAAGAAAAGATTTAGGCTTATGGCTGCAATGAAGTAAAAATGTAACTTCCAGGTGGAAAAGACACTTTTGCATGGCAATTAAGCATCGTTGTCAGGTTAAAAACTCAAAACTATGAACAAATATAGACAATTACAACAACTTATGTTATCTTTATACTCGTTTCAATTGATAAATAAAAGAAAATAGAAAATATTGCAAGAAAAAAAACAGTTAATAATTTCTTGTTGTAATTTGTGACATTTTACCTTTACCTTTTTTTTTATTTTCTTTTACTAGTGTACTTTGGCCCATTTGTAACACATTTACTAAACATGAATAGCCAGCAGGTGGCAGCAGTGTTCCCTGACCCACTTTTTATGCAACCTTTGGCAGATTTCTCCAGTTTTTTGTTCAGTGACCTGAGGAGGATCACGGGCAACTTTGACGATCGTTCCATCTCAGATGGAGGCAGCCGACTTGGAGAGGGGGGCTTTGGGACTGTATACAAAGGTTTCCTGAACAACAGACCTGTGGCAGTAAAAAAACTAAACCCTGTAAGTCAGCATCTTTAAATACATAAAGACTTCTGTTCAAGATGCTGATAATAAAGGTGTAATATCACATCCCTTAGATGGATGACATGCCTTTGGATAAGCTGAGAGATCAGTTTAACCAAGAGATCCAGACTCTGAGAGTGTGAGTTTAAATCAATCAACAGGAAAAAAAAAATGCCTGGAAAAAGCATTTTATTCTCTACTCCCGGATGTTGCAGGTGTCCCTTAATAAAATATTTTCCAAACAGGCTGAAACATGAGAACCTGGTGGACATGGTGGGATTCTCTTGTGATGAGCAGCAGCTGTGTATAGTGTACGCCTACATGGCGAATGGATCTTTGCTGGATCGCCTCGCCTGCCTGGTAAAAAAACGTTTGCAAACAACACCTGAGGCTCCATTCAGATCACTTATCTGTGCTTTTTATTTACATAGGATGGAAGTCTTCCTCTTTCCTGGCGACAGAGATGCTTGATTGCAGAGGGAACGGCCCGAGGTTTAGAGTACCTGCACAGCAACCATCACGTACACAGAGATGTTAAAAGGTGCAGTAATAAAAGTAGTACGGTAATAAAAATAGTCAAAAATGATTGAGGAATTTTAGTAATATCCTCCAACTTGTAAAGGAAACCCAAACAAAAGCTCTACATGCCCTAAAAGTATTTACTTTTTTAAATTTTTGAAGTTAAAGGAAAAGTCTGGTCAGAAAGGAATAACCAATGGATAATTATCTATACCTAAAACTAATACGTTCGCAGTGATTTAATAAATTTAGCGTTAATCTGTAAAAAAAAAAATAAAAAACACAAATTTTCGTTGCGATCACTGAGTCTGGGAGCGGCCATTTTTGCCCAAATATAATAACACCAAACTCCTGCCATCTTCCAGCAGTGACGTCATGGTGCGGTAAGCCTAGCGCCATTCTCCCCGCTTTACAAGCAAAATCAATGAAAACTACTAGACACATCTGCAATCAACAACAATTATTGAAGATTTCCATAGGACTTCACCATTGAAATTCACCAGAGCTATAGTGAAACTGACAATGCCCACATGCATGGCAGTTGGATGCTGTGATACATCGGGTAAAAGTGGAGAAAAAAAAATTTATTTCACCTTTATGATCGACCAAATTGTCAACTTAAAGGGGGAGGATTTGCCATCGACCTTCTGGCTAGAGAAAAAACAAGTCATATGTAGCCAACATTTCAAAGAATGTTTTCAAGATGACTTGGATAATAGCGCGTTGTGACAAACACCAGATACGGCGCTGGGACTTGATCAACAGCCGATACCGCACCGTGACGTCACAAACCAGTAGGTGGCAGTAGTGTTCTTTGACAAACATGGATGCCTCCAGTAAAGCACATTCAAATAAAAATTAATCTTAATTAAAACACTTATCATTCATTGAACAGGATGTAATAATTTGATATTTAAAGTACTTTCAGAAGTTTAAATTGTGAATATGACCGGACTTCTCCTTTAAAACCACAAAGTTCAAATATGTGATAGGATCGTCTACAATAGACCAACACGAAGTAGTGCATGTTTGTAAAGGAGGACATTTTTATTTCTTGCAGTAGTAAAACTCAAAGGGTGTGTCATGCGTATGTATCTAGCTCCACTTATTCTAACATCTCTAAATAACATCTAGGGTAACCATCTACCCTGCAAGAAATAAACAGAGTGTAGCTTATCTGCAAATCTATCATAACATGATCTTCCACCAAAATTGACAGGCCTGGCAACAGAAGCAGCTAGGAAGAAGCACAGTTACTCTGGAGGAGCTGCAGGGATCTGCAGCTTGATGGAACAACTTTTAGCTCTGCTCTGCAAGAGTTGTGGAAAATATGTGGAACGTTTAGGTCTGATCAAAACTGAGATTATTGCCTAACAAACAAAAAGCTGTGTCTAGTAAAATCAACATTACAAATTACCCTAAAAAAAACACCGTCCTCACAGTGAAACATGGTACTGGCAGCTGCATGCTGTGGGGATTATTTCTTTACTTTCTTTATTTATCTGCCCCTTTGTGTTGGTCTGTCTCTTTAAATTATTGTGATATACATAAAAAATAGTTGTTGGGACTTAACCAAATGGTGAAAAAGATCCAGTAGCTTCAGTACTTCACCAAGGTTATGTACTTTTCCTTCAGCTTGTAACAAGAAAACTAGCAAATTAACAGGAGATAAAAAGCTTCCTCTAACACCTTTTTGTTCTACCCTTAGTGCAAACATCCTGCTGGATGAGAACTTTGTGGCCAAAATTTCTGACTTTGGGCTGACCAGAGCGTCTGCAAAGCACACGTCTACAACAATGATGACGGAGCGGATCGTGGGAACCCGAGCGTACATGGCTCCTGAGGCCCTGAGGGGACAGATCACCCCAAAATCAGATGTGTTCAGCTTTGGAGTGGTACGCTAAGGACACACTCAGCTCAGTACCTATTATTTGATTCTAGCGTAAAACCTGAGCTCTTGTGTTTTACATTTGGTTAACAAATAACAGCCTTTCATTTTCTTTCATCTTAGTTTGAACATTTGTACAACTAGTATAGATTATAACCAATAAAATAGAATAAAAAAATCCCTTTTTTGTCCCACAATGGGGAAATTCTCGTGTTACAGCAGCAAAAAGATTATAGAGAAAATAGTCACACAAATCTGGACCTTAGAAAAGTGCATAACATAATAGTGAAGACTTAAAAATTAAACAAATAAAACACTGTACTGAAAGTGTTTTAACAATATAAAACTGTGCGCCTGGAGAATAAATGACCAACATACAGCTATTGACATTTTTACAGTAATGGAAATTTCAAAATAGCAGCAGCACCAGAGATGTGCAAAATTACAGCAGCATGTTATTTAACTTACTAAGATAGAAACTGCAAAATCAGCATGAATGTATCAACTTATTGAGGTTGTTGGGAACAGCGGTTGTTATAGAGTTTTACTGCTGCTGAGAGGAAAGATCTGTGATAACGCTCACTGGTGCATTTAAGGTGCAGCAGACTGTCACTGAAGGAGCTCTCCAGTTCAGCACCAGCTTCATGCATTGGATGGGAGACATTATCCAACAGAGATGTTATTTTAGTTAAGATCCTTTTGTTTCCCACCTCCAGAAGGCATCCAATCACAGAGCTGGCCTTCCTGATCAGGTTACCTAGCCGCTTTCTCTCCTACAGATAAGCCACTGCACCTACAGACAGCTCCATAGAAGATGGCTGATGCCACAACAGAGTCAGAAGCTCTTAAGAGCGCCCCCTGCACTCTAAAAGACCTCAGTCTCCTCAGCAGGAAGAGTCTGCTCTGACCTTTTCTTATACAGAGCATTTTAGCAAAGATTTACATGTAAAATATTAAACCCAACAATGTGATAATTCTTTTCTACTCAACAACGAAAAAAAAACTGTTAAAAAAAAAACCTGGTGAAATTGAATCTACAAAACTTAAGTAAAATAATTACAGAATGAATCTTATTTTTTTCCTTCCATTATTACTGCTTTTTGCAGAGCTTTGTAAGGACCTGGGAAAGAAATACAAAAAGAGGTTTTAAATAATCTTTTTGTTCAGTTTAGTGAGTGTTGCATCGACCTGCAGCGGCTTGGTGTTCGATCAATTTTATTTTTTTTTTCAGATTTGATCTGTGAGGATAGATCTACTAATGAAAGACAAGTTAACATAGTGACAGAAGCAGATATTTTTAGTTACATTAATGGCAAATGTATAAAAGAAATCTGATGAGGTATGATATTTATGTTTCAAAGTAATATTACAATAGTGATGGTAAGGAAAATTATGTTTGCATATATTTTAAGATGTTCTTTGTTGAGCATGTGCTCTTCTAGCCTCATATAATGTCAGTATTTTTGTTTTTGAGGGGACATTTGTGGTTTTATCGTGGTTTGATTGTTCTATTCTAAGTTAACAATGCAGGGCGAATAATTTCTCTACCTTTCCAACTTCTCTTGCGGAAAGAAACGACAGTCTGTTGCTAAACGAATGATGCTCTTTAGCGCAACTGATTCCTAATCTGAAGAATCCATAGATCCACTTTATTTACACTCTTTATTTTAACTAGTTATCGATCTTCAATGCGAGCATTCCATAAGAGCGAGTGTTTTAGCAGTCTGCTACAGATACATACAGGTTGGTGTCGATGCAACGATTGAGGAAAGAAGTCACTGGTGCCTTTAGAGAATCGGCTGTCCAGCCCGTCGATGTAGGGAGCGTTTTAAGGCCATTTAAAAATCAATTGATTCCCACTATTCTGCAGGGAGAGAAAGATTTAACACAAGTGAAAGAAAAGTCAAAACATTTTTTTTTTATGCTTCCCAGAGATGAGCTTCTCCGATGACCTCCTCTTTGGTGCACGAGGAGAAAGTCCAAAGATTTACATCCTTACTGGCCTCAGTGCAGATGCTGAGTGTTAATGTCTTTGAAACTGCAGATGCAAACAGGGCTGCAGAAGTGTGGCTTGTTTGGAAGTATCTTTAACCTAGCTGTCAATACCTATGGTTTGGATTAGTTTGAATAAACCAGAAGGCTTCTGGAAAAGTTCAAACAAAATATATTTACCCATTATTTACTAAACATTTGGAAAAATCTAAATGCAGCATATTAGAAATATCTCTCATTTGCTTATATGAAACACAGTGGAGGAGGAATGATAATCTGGGCTTTATTTACTGACAGAAAAACATAAACACCTTGTAATCAACCATGAATCCATCGGGTTACTACCTTGTGTCCAACAGCTTACCATCAGCTGAAATTAGTGAGCAATACCACCAAGATTCAAGGCGCAGCAGTATTTCAGTGGCCCAGTCAAAGTCTAAAGCTCAATCCGTTTGAATGTAAACATCTACAAACTCCAAAACCTCCAAATTACTGAAGGCAAGAGAGTCCAAATTTCATATTCAGGTATTTCTGTTTTGAGTAACTTTCGAACCTGATATAGATCAGAATTTATTAACGCCTGAAGGCTAAAGTCTGTGTATTTTCTTAGTCCAATAACTGTTGCTCAGTCCAGTTTCAGTGCTGGATGGTGCAGCACTTGCATCAGCATCTTCCCTTGAAATATTTTCGTTTCTTTTTCACTACTACCTCTGGCTTTTAGCATCTGTTCTAATGTGAGAAATGAGGGTTGTTGAAATGCCACACAGCTGTACAAGGTTTGTGAATCCAATGCCAGTAACAGATGATGTACAGCAGGAGAAAAGTAATTTCCTTATGGGGAAGTAATTCCTCTATCTTATCTGTACAGCTGGGGCTTGTGGTTGGTGGAAGATCTGGGTCACTGGGAGAAGAAATAAAGGTTCCCTGTTGCCCGGAGTCTTGTAATTATCCTCATGTCTCTGCTGTCTACAGGTGCTGTTAGAAATATTGTCTGGACTTCCACCAGCTGATGAAAACAAAGAGCCCCAGTTCTTGGTAAGCTGCACTAGAGGCGTTTACTTTGTATGTATTGAGCAACAGCTGCAGTCAGTTAGTACATAAAGTAAAAACGGAAACAGAACTTTAAAGAGATCATCTCAAATATCCGTCATTTCCTTTCCCCTTATCTTAGATGGAGATCAGGGACAACATAGATGATGAAGATGAAGATCTGACTCTGGAGCAGTTTGTGGATAAGAAGATGACAGACTGGGAGCTGAGCCAGGTGGAGAGCATCTACTGTTTGGCTTCCAGCTGCTTGGATGACAGGAAAAACAGGCGGCCAGTCATCAAACAGGTACAGGAAGGAGGCAGAAAGAAAAGCAGCTGCTCTAGTGGTATCTGTACTTCTTTTTACAGGAGTTTACTTTAATAAACAGCATTGTGCAACACTTATGCACAGGAAAAATGTTACCATCTTTTTATTTTTAAAAATTTTATAGTAAAGATGGTGTTTTCTGCAGGTGTAGCAAATTGTACTAATTGGGATTTTATTGTGACCAAATGCAAATTACTTCAAGAGGCTTGAATAGTTTTGTAAAGTGGAATAGAAAACATTTCCACTGCTTTGTTTGCAGTAATTTAGAATTTTTTATTTTTTTTTTCCTTGCAGGTTCTTTCAGAGATTCGCAGTGTTGTCAAAAGCAACTCCTTGGATTCTTAGGAAAGGAGGGAAACAAGAAGATTTCCGATCCTGTTCCCAGACTGAAACGTTTCCCGCTTTTTAATATTTCATATCAAAATGTCTTATCTTTTAATTTTATATATGCATTTTGTAATCTGTTAATTTTATGTGAATGTAAAAAAGCACTGAGGTTGTTTTGCCTTAATGTTTGGTAAATAAATTAAATAAACAAAATTGATTTAAATATTTTATTTTCATCTTTAAAAGAAAGATTTGTAAGAAAACAAAGAAGACCAAACATTATTCGTTTTCTGACGATGAATATAAAGGGTTTTTTTCCCCCTTCACATGAGGTGAACTAAGTAGTTTGCCAAATATTAATCAGTAGACCAGTGGATGAGGCAAATTTTTCCATCAAGGTTTTCCCTTTTTCAATCCTGTAGAGCTTGGTGTTCCTTCCTCTGTGGGAACCGGGTTTCTAGAAGCTTCCTCTCAGTGAAATGTGAGATGTATAGATCGATGGAGTATTTCTGGAAGCCCGTTCTCTCCACTGTAATCCACCATCAACGAGACAGACTGCTTCTTAATCATAGAGCATCACACAGCTACAATATGTACATTTACAGCACTTGCATAGAAAAATAAGTTTCTCAGCAGATGATTTTTTTTTTCTCCATGTAAACCACAGTTATATCAAAAAGAAGGAATTTTCTCTTTATAAAAATGCACTGTTAAAACAAAGGAGTCAACACGTGGGAATAATTCAGATCTTTTTCGGCTTTGGAGCACCTCGTTGTGCAAACAGTAGGAGACGAATATTGTACACGTCAGACACAAAAACAATATTTGACACAGACTTAAGGAATGCTGTTTAGGAATTTGAGCATTTGAACTCGATAAGCATTTTTTTTTTTATATTGGCGCAGGTTCACATTAGTGGTGCTTACATCTTTTTTCCTAAGTGTCAGAGCTGGCAATTAAGCAAATATCTCAGCTTTTATTTGGGGCCCCTTGAGTTATAGGTAAGCTGCTTGTGAATGTATTAACATGTAGGAATATGTTTCCATTTGGCAAGCTACAAATGGATCATCTGATGTGTGTCACTGCTCAGTTCTCCTTGGCGTGCATAGTTGGGTGGCTAGGGTAACATGGTGAGAAATTGAGGTTGTTGGGAAAGAAAAACAAAGTCAAATACAATTTTTTTCGTCGCCCATCACAGGGATGTTCCACTGTGGAACACGTAAGGGGGGGGGTTGGAAGTGGTGCTGAGGTTTCATTTAATCTTCCTCTTCTCCTTCGCCGGGTGGCCGGGTGATTCGGCGGCCACCCCGCTTACCAGCTGGGCCTTTTGGCTTGGCGAAACGCTCCTTATACGCGTGCTGCTTGGGATGCACTTCGCCATACAGGAAATCGTTTGTTAGTTCATTCCCGTCTTCAATTTCCAGCTGGGAAAGAAAAAAAAGTATATAAACACTTTATTTTTCTGGTAAATTGCCGTTTGTAAAAATCAGGTAGAATTAAAACTTTAATCTTATCCAACAAATAAAGTTTCCCCACTGAAACAAATTGGACACATATCTGCTAAATAAAATCAACAAATATCCGATTATAAAAATGCAAATAGATATTAAAGTCTTTAATTTCTCACATACTTACATATATTAAACTTGTATCTCTGTGAATTTGGATGATCGTGGCTAACAGATACTGAAAACCTATAATTAAGTTTCTACCAAAATTGAAAAGCTGATTAGAATGAACAATGCTTGGCCAGAGCAAGTAAACAATTGTTGAGCAGACTGTAACCACCACCCTCCCCAAGGATAAAAGGCCATTTAAGACATTTGCTAAATTGAATGAAAGTTGAATGGAAGGAAATCTTGGTTTAAAGGCATACTATGCAACATTTTTCAGTTAATGTGTTCCATAAAGTTTTGGATGATTAAATGAGTCATTTCAGGTCGAACAAATGTTTTCTTGGCCGCCCTGGTGGTCTGTAGGGGAAATACCGTACTTGCAATTGCAGGAGCCCTCGACCCACACCCACAGGCTCAGAAGTCTCGTGCATCGCGAGAGTCGGTCTTGCTTTACGGCGCCCCCAGTGAAAGACATGCTCGTTGCTAGCGCAGCGGCAATATTTGTGCAGTTATCATGGCGGAACCAGCGAGAAAACAGCGAAAGCCCATGTCGGAAAAGGCGAGAAAGAGGAAAAGGGCTCTCTACCGCAGTAGACATGGTGATTCGTTGCGTTCGCCTGTCTGCTAAGCTCAAAACAACCACGCCTGGCTTGACGGAGAAACCAGGAGAACAGCTGAGCATATTTACGACAGTGCACTTTTACTTTTGCCCTCTGGGGGAAGCCTCGCTGGAAAATCAACACCGGTTGCATAGTGTACCTTTAACATAAACCTTTCAGATGATTGTGGTCCAAAGCCCATTCAAGAGTTTAGAGATATTCAAGGCATGGATTTGGGTTAAAACAGTCTAAATCAGACCTGCAGTAATTCATCCAAAAAGGAGCTCAGACCAAACATTAAATGTGTATACTATATAATAGTTTTTTTAAATAAATAACTTAAATTTCCATTTATCAAAATGAGAGATAAATGCTTGAAATACTATGTTCCTTATAGGGCTGCACGATTTGGGGAAAAATATGAATCAAAGTTATTTCACTTAAAACTGAGACCACGATTCAGCAAAATTGTAATTGCATAAACTCAACCTAACAAACAAACAACCTATTCAAAAGGTAGTTCAAAATAAAGCATGTCTTTGCATAAGACCTTTGTTTGAGCACTTCTGAGGGGGTTTGAAAGATGATTAACCCTCTCAACAGAGAAGGTTAATCATCTTCCAAGCCTGTCATTGTGTTCGGTGTTTATTGGGGCAATTTCTTTGCCCTGGTGGTACATAATCGCTGCTATGATTTCCTTGTGTCTTTTGGAGTTGGGCGGGTATGCCATTGCTTTGTGCAAGGTTCCCGTTGTTAGGTTTGTTTTGGTTTCTTGCTTTGTATGCCTTCATCGTGCTGTATTTCAATCAATCAATTTCTTTATTGTCAACTACAATTTACATTGTAATCAAGATTTCCGTTTCAGTACAACTGAAATTACAATGTAATATTTGTTGTGACATTTGTGATTGAAGTTGTAGTATTGCTTTGCAGTGCAGCAACCTGAGCAAGCCATGCTTTACAATGAAACTTGTGCTGTTTGTCATGATCTGGTTTAAAACCAAAATATTTTCACACAGCTGGGCTTACTCCACTGTTGCAAAGATGCTTTACCATTGGTTAGGGAGGTAGGAAGCCAATGGCAGTGCTGCGTTTGAGGGCGCTAGGAAACTGTTGTTGTTAAAAATGCTACAGAATCGTTTAGGGTAGAAATAAGATCACATGTGGATTGAAACTGCATTTTTTTAAACAATTAATCATGCAGCCTTAGTTCCTTCTAACAAATTTATGTCAGTTTCATATGCTGAACTGATTCATTGAACTGAATTAAGGCTGTGATGTAAATGTATAAAAAAAAGTATGAAAATGTAACTTTAAAAAATGTGTGATTGGTGAATCAAACACAGATTCCTTCTCATCTCTCACCTTTTTCTCAATCTCAAGCTGGAGTTGGTTTTCCACCATGTCAACCAGGTTATTTTTGCAGCTGGAATACAGCATCCTCTCTCGGATGCTGCATTTGTACCCTGGCATAGAATAAATGAAGACTGCAAAAGAACAGATGATATGATGGGAAGATATGAAGAAAACAAATGCAAATCTGAAGCTCCAAATTACTTGACAGAAATTAAGCACTCACCTGTAGACTCCAAGTAGTCGCCTTCATGGGAATGTTTGTACAGGAAGAAGTGGTATCGAGGAGACTCTTTGGGGACTCTCTTTGGCAGGTCTTTCAAATCAGTTGGCTCAGTGCTGCACAAGTATATAATTTCCTTTTCCATATCTATTTTCTGTTGACAAAGGGTGTGAAAAGATTATTGTTGGTATGAGAACATGTGACAGTAACCAAAAGCAAGTCCATCTCATTGCAACGTCTGTTTGCGCTGAAGTAATAATGACAAGTCTTGTTCTCACAGTCGGGGATATCTCATCCTACAAAATAATTTGCTGTTTTTCTGTGGAAAGAGACATGCTTTCTAAGGACTTACGGTTCAAAACAACCTATAAATAAAAGCAGAAAATATAACCAGACCTGTTGTCTGGGTTACAAAAAACACAGAGACAAACACTCATCCATTTTTGTCATCTTTCTGTTCATTGCAACTCCAATATTAAGAAAAACAACTTCTGTAACCTGCTTTCTACCCGTTGTTGGACTGAAACCTCTGTCTGATCTTTCTGACTGACTTTGCTGTAGGGAAGTTTTCAGTCTGCAATCCTCCCCTGTGTAATGTGTACAAGCTTGCATACTGTGACATGTTCAATGCCAGTAGGATTGTTTATGACACAAAGTGTTAACCAAATTCAACTTAAATTGTCCAATGAAGGCTCCTAAATGTCCCATTTAGCAGGGTTCCTACAGCATAAGGCGAGTTAAATTCAAGACCTTTTAAGACTTTTTAATGCCACTTGAATTACAAATTTAAGACCAAATTCACAAGAAACACAAGAAAAACCTGCTTGCGACAACTTAACCCAAAGGTTTATTTTAACATTAACCACTGCACTAATGTTTTAAATTTTGAAAAGCTTCCCATACAGGAAGAAAGCTAAAAACACACAAATGACAGATATATTTTAACAATTATTTAACTGAATTCACAAACTTTGTTTTAGCAGGGAACAAAACAAATCAGTTTTAAAGCCAAAACATAACCAGTGCTAAGTCTTTTTTGCAGCTATTTTTCTTTGTATGGTTTTCTTAGTATGTTTGATTTGGTGATAAGTGGAGGCGTTGCAGAGACAAGGGTGGAACAAAACTGAGAAATACCGGCTGTTTCTCAGTAACTCGATTTTGACGCTTTGTGTTTCATGCTTCGCATGTGCGACTCCACTGCCTTAATTCCCATCGTTCTGAGCTTGAATGACTTCTTGCACAAAATACAGTGTGCCTCATGTATGTTCCCTGGTTTTAGCCATGGAGAAAACTCTTGGCTGGATAGACAATTTTCATTACATTTACACTTGCTCATATTTTCCTGACAAAAAGTAAATTGAACATTATTGATCTCACATTGGAGAAATTTATCTCTGCATTTAACCCAACCCCTTGAGAAGCAATGGGCTGCCATCGTGCAGCGCTCGGGGAGCAGCGTGGGGTTAAGGGTCTTGCTCAGGGACCCAAAGTGGCAGTCTGGGGGAGTGGAGGATTGAACTCCCAATCTCAGGATTCAAAGCCCTATGCCCTAACCACTAGGCTGCCACTTCCCAGTAAATGGTGCATTTGTTTCAATAAAAAAAAAACTTGTCAATTTTAACGTTTTATTTAGATGACAAAAATAAATCCTAATAAAAAATAATCCTATTTATGATGTTTTAAAAATTAAGACCTACGAAAGACTGATTTAAGACATTTTAATACCAATTAAGGCTTTAGTTTTATTTTGAAGAATTCAATGCCTTTTAAGACTTTTTAAGGACCCGCAGGAACCCTGATTCCTCAGGACTGATTTGGCAAAAGGCACCACTGAACAGTTAGCAAACACATGTCTATGTTGGTTCCTCATTTTTACCAATGCAGTATTTAAAATAAATACATTTCTTTAGCATGAACACCAGGTTTTAAGTTTTAATATTAAAAAGCTGCAGTAGAAACCTTAATTTCATTAACTACTTAATCATAAATGAAGTTTTAGAGATGCTTAAAGATACTGGATGGCGAAAAGTAAAATTCTTAAGTCATAATGGGAGCATTTTATAAACAACTGAGGTTACTCATTGCAATCATTAAACCCAGATCACTTAGAAAATGTTGAGGTTGAATATTAAGTCTGTAATATTTTTGACAGGGTTGCTTTCTGCCCAAGCAGCCACTCCAGCAGTGTAGTAGAATGCAAAGGACAAAGAGAAGGTTTGCTTATTTACATGCTCAGACGGATGGAGTTGGGAGTCCCTTGATGTGTACAGTGTAAGCTATAGGAAAATATTACCAGGTGGCTGATAAAGATTAGCTTTATGTCAAATTAATAGCATAGCATCAATTTCTAAATTAAAGTTCTATGCCATGTTTTATTTTTAAAGAATGAAGAATGCATTGGCGCAAAGCCCTAACATATTTAGGCTGATAAAAGTGCAAAATGTTATTCTACAATTAACAGAAATTCTGGAAAACAGATTAAACGTCATATTTATGTTCATATTTGTCCAATAAATGTGAGCATGAACTCATTATCAACATAATAATAGGGGGTACATTAGATCGAGAGTAACAAAAAGAACACACAATTAGTCAAAACAAATTTTGTTTCCCATCAATCCATTCAAATTGGGCTGAAACAGTGAATCAGATTAATCATGATTAAACAATAAACAAAATAGTCCACAACTAATTTATTAATCAATTAATCCTCAACTGGAGTATAAAGACTCTAAAACATGCCTTTAGCTGACAGAGGAACCCACTTAAAGCAGGTAATGTAAGAAAACTGTAAAAATATATATCAATATTTTGCATTTAAGATAGAAAAACACCTTTTTCATCTCTCAATATCCTCTTTCCAGAACTCCTCAAGTGGAAACATTTTACTTTCACCTGGTTTAAGTCTTCTTTAAGGAACTTTTTGCTATCCGATTATTAATGGAAAAAAATATTCAACAAATTAATCGATTAGTAAATTAATAGTCAGTTGTAACTATTTTTTTTTCTTTGCTCTAAATGTTAATGGAGGGGTACAAGATGGGGTTTGCTCAGAGTTGCCAATGAATGACAACTTATGAAAACATAAAAAAATATTTACTCAGTTACATAAAACTGTTTGACTTTGAAGCTTGTAGTGAAAAAGAGGAAAAGAAGAGCTTCAAATGTTTCTTTGTAATTTGCTCTGATCTAATCGGAGCCATTAGCAATTTGAATTTTAATGAGAACCTCACACAAAAGGCTTTATGGACAAATAATGAGTGCCTTCATTGTGTTTCTAAAACACAAACAAACACAACTACTGGCTAATAATACTGCCTTTTTTAAAACATAAAGATGCACAGGTCATTTATGAAAAAGGTTTACTCTTATATTACACATTATGTGCTTGGAAGGAGTGTTTGTAAACCTTGAAACCACATCTTTGAACTTTCCAACCACAAGTTTTTAAGTATAATGAAGGTCTTTTATGACGGAACAGCTTTAAATAAAGCACAGATATGAGATAAAAGGAACAGGATGGATACAGCTGTTCTAAGAAAGTCTCAGGTTTCTTAGAAATCTTTAATTGAAACATTTTTCAATAAAGATCCAGACACACATCAGACAAAACGGCGATAAAGTTTTAGAGTCGTTCAAAGCGGAGCTGAAAAAAAAAAAAGATTTCCAAAGGTTCAACCATTTCCTATTGCACCGTTTCATTTCCTGTTTAAAAATGAAACTGCAGACCTACAGTACCAAGGCAACAAGCAAACAAGGAAAGCAAAGCTGTGTGACACCGCAAAAAAAACATACTACAATCGATAATTATTCCTTTTTATTTTACCTATATGAAATAAGAACCAGAGAAAAAAAAGTTAAATTCAAATTGTAACTATTTAAGAATAATCTTTAAAAAGAGGTACTATTTACCACCAACCCAGCTTAGCTTGACTGTGGGAGGTTGAAAGTCTATTGAAATAATGGAGCATTTTATTGGAAATATTTTCTATTTATACCATCCAGGTGTTTATGCAAATACATATTGTCATTGGTGTATTTCCTGATCCTAAAGAAAAGCATAGGTCAGTGAAGTATTATAGTGATTCTGGAAGGGCTACAGAGATCCACAGCTGATGTGGGAAAATCTGAAAGCTTAGCTTTAAGCTTTTGAATAGTGGCCTAAACACAGCACCACCGCAGGCAAACATGCTGCTCACAGCAACAGCTTACCTCTAAGGATAGCCATGTCTGAGATCGGCCTACATCCAAGTGAGAATTAGTAGCAAAACTTCTCACAAATGCTCACATCAGATCTGACTTTGTAAAACAGAATGGAAGAAAAGTGTTCTACTTTGTACTGATGTAACCAAAAACAAAAAAATGTGATAAAGGTTTAAGCATCATGATGACTTTAAGAGGGATTGCGTTCTGCTAGGAACTCACCAGCTGTACATAGTTGATTCTCTTTTCCTTAAAACGCGTCAGTGCTTCACTCGCCTCTTTGTGAATGGGGAAAGCCACGCCCTGCAGGGTCTGCTGCTTGGTGTCCACACTGATGTCCGTCTGGACCTGAACACAAGGACAAAGTTAGAGCTACCATTGACACGCTAAGCAGTTTTTGCAATAAGTACTTTGAAACTGAAAGGATTCCCTTGGATTATTTTTAGACTGAAAACAAGTTTGTACCGTTTCATTTTTAAATCACCAAGCGGTAAACTGGTGCCCTAAAAAGCTTAAAAGCTTGGCCACAATCATTATAGATAGCATTTTTATAAGATGTCACAGCCTTTAGGAAATCGCACAGATAACTTGAAAATGCAGGAAGGATTACACTGAAGGATTACATCTATTTTTAGTCGCCTGTTCCCATAAATTGAAATGCCTTGCAAACATGACTGAGCACAGATGCAGCTACTTCGCATTCCAAACGAGACATCATACTTCTTTATCCATCTGCCTGGATAAAGGTAAAGCAAGTGATGAATATTTCAAAGCTTTTTCATCTGGGCTGCACAGATTAATGGCATTAGATCTTCCTTTAACAGCTGAAACCTCACTTCCCATTTGCTTTGCTGGTTTTAATTGACGGTTCTCTGAAGAGAGGCTACACTACTGAAGCAGATCCATATATGGTAAGAAAGAGTTCATGTTTATGTGACGGGCTATGAGAGCAGCAATTAGAAAAAACTGTTACTCAAAAAAGAAGTGGTTGTTTTAGATACTTCACAGGCCTTCTTCAAAATCTAAAACATGACCTAAACCTCCAGCTGGAGGAGGCTACCTGCAGAAGCCTGGAATGTAAATAGTGGTAATTACATCAGCAGTATCACGTTACCACATTCATCTTTCTTATCACAATGAAGGCAAAGCACAATGACAGAGCTCACTTGTTCCCCAGAGTCAAATCACTACCCAGCTCTCCACAGCCGAGTTCAAACATTTGCATACTAATGACAGGATTTAGTTTTGGACATCAGTAGAGCTTTCCTTTTACTTCTTTTTTTTTTTTTGATCTAGCAAAACAAACCCTTCCACTGGAGTCTGTACTTTTTATTGGGCATATGGGTGTGAGCTCTAAAGCCTAATGAGAGTAGTCTCTGCCAACATCCTGCTGTTCTAACCCATCAGCATGTTTGCGCCCTCTTAGTACTGCCAGCCCAGCATCTGCACACTTGTAATGCTGCTGACCTTGTGAGCTTAAAAGTATGCATTGCTGGCCTTCCTTGATACCCCACCTAACCGGATCACGGTTACACACTGGAGATAGGGCTGCCGCAAGCCGTGGCAGGTCAAGTTGGTTTCTCCTTCAGCTACATATATCGGGGACATGTATCTGGCCAACAGCACTGCATTATTTTCTTAGATCTAAGTGCTATCTCACCACTGAAATTAGCTTCCTTATGTTTACCTCATTGAGTTTGATCTGTCTCAGTTCCTCCTCTGCAGCAGTGAGGGGCAGAGGAGCCGCCTGCGAGGTCAGATATTTCTTGTAACCACTGAGATTCAAATCCTCCTGCAAAGAGAAATGTGTTTAAGGCTAAACGTTTAGATCTAAAAAACAAAACAAAAACGATGTGTGTGAGTCAATAACAAACCTTCGTGGTACCAAAAATCTCATCCTTAATGTGCCCTCCTCCGAACTCTTTTTTCAGTGTCGCCCTGGTAGCAGCATATAACATTTTGTGTCGCACCTGAAAAATAAAAACACTTTTTATAATTACAGAGAAAAAGCAGAAGAAACCAATTCGGGTTTCTGTGAGAACTGACCATTATATTTAGATTTTGATCAATTCTTATTTCTTATCAAAAATTATAAAACAGCCCAGGGACGATTTTCTGCAGTTGAATAAGGAATTAACATATCCCCACTTAGCCTATATAAAGCACCTATTAATACAAAAAATATTGATATATTCAATGACGCATTTAATGACTAGATGAAATAAATTCAGCGTCAACATGTAAGTCAAAAAAACAGACCCAAATATGGACAGATTTGGGTCCAAGACTGATTGACTGGGGAATAAAATGTTAAGATTCAGACTGTGGAAGATTGAAAGTAAAAGGGGGGAAATTCAACATAGCCTTATTATAATAATATATTTTTTTAAACGGCCCGTTAAATGGTCAACTTTCATAAAATGCAACAACTACTAATGTCTGGAAACTCCAACCTTTTTTTCAAATAATTTTCCCCAACTTATCTAAATTTTAAAACTAATATATCTAAACTCCAGTTTTACTTTTCAAGACACAACAGAAACTAGATTCGTTGTTGCACTAGCCATGTTCAAATCCAAATTTAATGTTAATTATGAGCAAAATTTCTTGAAAATCTCAAATTAGACATGTTTTCATCTACTGGAGCCGGTTAACCCACGTATGTTTACATTATTTGACTTTATTAAACAGGAAATAAACTAGGACAGACCGCAGATCAATAATGGACTGAGGTTTTAATGAATGTGGTTCAATCAAGCAAGTTGTACTGACTTTATTATGCGAGCTAGTGTTAGTGATGTTATATGTCACCCAGAGATGTTAGAGAGAAATGTAATACTAATGGGAGGCTGGCAGCAGTATCAGCTGATCAGCGATATTTGGTATTCTCTATTTTTTTTTACTTATTTGACAAATGTGCTTCCATCTCCTCTTATATGCATTTAAATATCTTTTCTTTGTATCATTTTTGTGTGTGTAATATTTAGTTATTAGATTTAAATGTTCTGTTTCCATTAAGCTTTTCTAATTTTATACCTCAAAATGCACATAAAAAACGCTGATGGTAACGTCTCTACGGAGTGCATTTTATTCTCAACACCAAGATTAGGTGTGTGTTGACCTGCTAATAAATAGCAACACCTTATTAGGTCAATAATATACATCTTTTTTAACCAGCTTGCAGCTACATTCACACTTGCTGTTCCACTATTTCAGCTGCTACAAGACCAGTACTTTCTTTCACCAACATGCAGGTTGTGAAAAGATTGAGCAACTTCTAGACAAGCCTGAACCTGATGCTTTGTGCTCAGAGAAAGGAATGTTAAGCTCAGCTGTGCGAGTCAGAAATTGGATTTTAAAACTTCAGAGAGCTGCAGACACACATTTACACCTGACATCATCAAGCTGGAACATTTCCCTTTCCACTGCTTTAGAAACGTGGTTTCTCTGGGGAGTCTTCGTCAAGTTTAAAGGAAAATAAATAGTGATGAGATTATATTACTCTAAAAAGAGGAAAAGTTTAATTTTATGTACAAAAACACCTAAAAGCAGCTGTATTTAAGTTTTAAGACCAAGAAGGTATGAAGTCCCAAACAGACGAACTGCTCTGATGTGGTCAGCTCCACCCGTCTTATACCCAAAGCTGAGCACAACAAAGGGTGCAGAGAATGGAAAGCTATTCATTACAGCCACTGGGTGTGGTTGTCTTACAGTAGAGTTGTCTGGTGACCAGGCGAGGAGGATCCATTCGTAGCCTTGGTTGTTAGTGGAGTCCAGTCGGTACAAAATATAGCAGGGCACAGCATCCTCCAGAAGAGGCAGCACTATGGAATCGTACTCCTGATCCCACGACTTTGATGCTTGACTGGTACGACCCAGTGTCAGCTCCTCTGGAAAACAGATGTGTGCAAACTAAAATGTAAGCAAAGCACAGATTTCTTTCATACACAAAATTAAGAATGTCAACATTCGGACAGAGGAATGAGCTCGGCTTTTTGGTTTTGCAGTTATAGTGTCCTTACCATCCTCAATGATGATCTTTAAGGCTCGATACTGGTCTCCGCTCCTGGCATTGGCAAAGATTTCCTTCACATCATTCCCCGCTGGAACAAGATGAAAAAGATTAGAGACATCGTTTATAAAAGGTTTGATAGGAACTGAATTGTGCCGAAATAAACAATTTGGTTATTAGTTAAAAATACATATACTTGAGCGATGAGACATAAAAGATATATTTTTTTGCATTAGAAATTGACTTCTAAAGATGCACAGTGTTACGGCACATTGTGCTAAAAAAAATTGTTTAATGTTAATAATCAAATTGCCACCATAGGAAACTGCTGTACAATTAATCTACACTGTACTTTAATATAAATAACAGTCCGTTTCTTTCTATAGTTAGAAGTTTAACTATAGAAAGGTATTTCCAGCTTATATCAGCTATTTACACCAATATTATTTAATATAAAAAAACACTGCATACAAGCACCTTTACATCACACCTTCTGAATTTAGTAGATAATCATTAGATTGCTTTACTTAAATAAGATGTAATAAAACAATAAACACAGTCATAAACATTAACATTACAACAGTAGTAGTGGATCTGTTACTCTAGAAGCAGTAGTAACAAATGATTTATTTCTATGCAAATTAAAGGTAAGTAGACTAGGTAACATGCAATGCATCATTTGCACATCATTTTTGTGCAAATACTCTGAAACTGTACATCTTATTAAAAACACGTCATGTGGTGCTGGACTTTGACCTTTATCCGAGTACTGTAAAATAAGTCAAGCGATGAAATTCAAACCAAGTGATTATAACTGCAAAAAATTGGTTTAACTAACCCAGATGCACAGGTTTTGGTGAAGATTTTATACTGTTAAACAGAGGACAGAAAATATGGCTACTACATCATAAACACAAACAGGTACTCTGTTAGACTCTTGAAAAAAAATGCTTACATTTTTTTTTTTTTTTTTGTCCATATATAGATAATTTGTTTCTGCTTAAGTAGGTTTTCTAGCAACAGGAAGACTTTGTGTGGATTTGATTATTTCTATAAACTCTTTTTTGTATCCATTAAACACCATAGAATGCAATCTCTATAGGGTGTATTTGTGAATGCAGACTAAACAAAATACCTACGTAGGCTTTCCGAGTGGCAGGAGGTCACGCCCTATATCAGCAATGGATAATAGCCATGCAATTCAGATAATAACTGGAAACTTGACAGATTCTAGTCAAGCAGTGTATTTAGATGAAGGCGTCGCCCATTGATTCAAAGCATAAACTAACATTACATGGTTTCAATTTGATTATAGAAACATTAGAATTGTCTTTGGCGAGGCGTTAAGAAATACGTTCAGAAGAAGATGGTTTTCTGATGGCTGATAGAGTGACAAAAAACTCGAAGTGAAGTCCTCAAAAAGTGCACAGCGGCTCAACTGGTCACAAAAATCACTGAAGCCAGAAGCTAGCTAGCTAGCACGGAGAGATTAGCTAACTTGCTAGCTTATGGCTGCAACAAACTGAAGCAGGCGCCTAAAGCTTTATCTGAAATTCACACAGCGGGACGGACAAAACACTTGCAGGAAAAACAAAAACAATCCTTACCTAGAATGCCTGTTTGATGTGACATTGTGTCTATCGTCGGACAGAGGGCTGAAGCAGCTGACCAGGCGAGAGCGAAGAGAAGAAGCAGGAAGTGAACTACAGAGGGAGGGGAGGGGCGCCCCCGAGACTGGGGGTCACGTGACCCACCAATCTGTAAGGAAATGCATTTATGAATGCATTTCCTTACAGAAAGAAGGAAGAGATATGAAGACTGAAAAAATTCAGCAAGAATGTAAAGATATGAAGAATGTAAAAATAGGAAGAATGTAAAAATTGCGAAAGAATGTAAAAATTCAGGAAGAATGTAAACATTTAGAAAGAATGTAAAAATATGAATAATGTAAAAATAGGAATAATGCAAAAATTCAGGACGAATGTAAAAAATTCAGGACGAATGTAAAAATATAAAGAATTTAAAAATTCAGAAAGAATGTAAAAATATGAAGAATGTAAAAATCCACGAAAATGTAAAATTTCAGAAAGCATGTAAAAATATATAGAATTTAAATATTCCGGGAAAATTAAGAAATTCAGAAAGAATGTAAAAATATGAAAAATGTAAAAATTCAGGAAATAATGTAAAAATTTAAAAGTAATGTAAATATATGAAGAATGTAAAATTATAAAGAATGTTAAAATTCAGAAAGAATGTAAAAATATGAAGAATGTAAAAATCCATGAAGAATGTAAAAATTCTGAAAGTATGTAAAAATATTAATTTGGTATGAAAACCAAATTAATATTTTTACATTCTTCCAAAACAAAAAACAGCAACAAATCCTCTAAAATGTGTATTGTTATTTTTAAAATCATCCTGGTTGATTTACATCCTCAATTTATTTTTGCAGAAGTGACTCAGACTCAGAGGTCTCAGACATGCTGGCTCTCTGACAGCTGATCCTGTTTGGCCTGATATCATCCAACATCTGGACACCATTGGGATTCTTTCTCATCTTTTCCTGAATCCTTTTCATTAAATAAATACATTATATGACAGCAAATATATCCAATCCCCAGAAGGAATCCCAGCTCTGTGCTAAGCAGAACAACCAAACTAATAAGAGCTGTTGCAGAAACAGTGAATCACCTTACAAACTGCAAAGCATCTTGAATATGTAAGTTGTTCTGGTCTATATTACTTTTATTAGTAAGAATGGTTTTATCTACTAAAATTCATAGCATGCACGGCTTTAATGATTTTGCTGTTTAATTTCTAGAATATAACACTATTTTGCTATATAATAGCAAAATTGTAACTTAATGAATAGCTCACATATGTAGAATGTTGCTGTACATAAAAAATCAAAAGGAAACAAATGCATAGTGAAGCATGCAGGGATATTATGAAATGTAATGGAAATCTACAAATTTAATACAAGGATACTGGGAACAGTTGCAGCAGGGGATGGTTGGAAGTTACAACATGTCATTTTTCTCCATTTAGAAACTATTAAGAAAATTGGATGCAGGTCCTTTCAGAAAAAAAAAACTAAACATATTATAGTGTTGCTCTGGTATTTATCGAAAAAAAAAAAAGAAAAAGAAAAAAGAAACAGTTATAGGACATGAAAGTATTTTGGTTGAGTTTTGTTTTTGTCAAAACAAAACTAGCCCAGTCGGCCTGATGGGATTAAGCTCAATCCTGTATGGTTTAGGTCAATGGTAAATTTATCTTTAGTAAATGTGATTAGAATGTATCATTATAACTTTGTTGAGCAAGAACATCAGGTTTTATCAGGAAGGGGGGCATTTGCAACAACTGCCTCAATATAAAACAAAAGACCACATATTTATTAAAAATATGTTTAAATATCTTTATTTTTCATTAGGTGTTAACTTCAGCAGAATACATTTGATCAGGTTAAAGACAGAATAGGTTAATGTGTATGCATACTCTCCCAATGCCTGTTTATAACTTTGTTTATGTACTACTGAGTAGTCAAACCATATAAAAATACATGTAATTTATCTAAGCAAAAAGGTCAATGATATATTTATATTGTTAGATCCAATTATTTAGTTGTAACATCGGCATATAGGCCTAATCTTATAGACAAATATAAAACTGTCATCTGATCAAAGCTGATTAATAACACTGCAATTGCATTTCAACACATTTTAAAATAAAATAGTAATGCAGCAGATATTAATTATAAGTTTAAAATAAATCATATTTGTAATATGTTGCAACCATCCCTAAATAATTTTGCAACTGTCTCCTCCTAGAGGTCAGTTGCAACATATTGCTCGTGGTATGCAGGAAAAAAATGTGAACACTGTACCTTTTTTTAAAAATCAACTTTAAATTGTTTCTCACTATTTACAGAAATATATTTATTGTATAAAAAGTTGCTTTGTCTAAACCCTGTGAGAGAGTCAAATGCAACAACTGTTCTATTTGCCCTGTGTCTTTTTACTCTTTATTTTTCCAGTCTTACTAAGGAAGGTTCTGACATATTTTTGAGATGGATGGCTGTGGTCTGCAACCAAGGCTGCTTCTGAGAAGATTCCCTGTGCTGTTCAAAATCAGATTGAGAAATCTTATAAGCTCATGGACCCTTCCCTACTTATTCAGTTCTTAGATGCATCTGTCAGCTGTCAGGCTTTTGTGAGGGGCTTGGTAATATTTATCTTTACATGATCATGGAGATGCTCCCAGTTTTCCAGTGACTGGGACAAACCACAACAATTGCCAAAACCTAACTTTTATAAGAAAGTTGTTTGGTGTAAATATTACTTTCCTCTAGACCAGTATACCAGTAAATATAAAGCTTTTAATTAAAACAATTTTAATTTTAAAGAACAACTTGGTCTCTGTTTATTTTGAAATGCTTAAACAGATGTAAGATGATGTAACATGAGATCTATGGTTTGTAACTGTTTTATGAATTTCTAATTATAGATTGATGTAATTGTAAACTGTAATGTAATTTGTAATGAAATCTTTTGCCGCTGTCTTGGCCAGGACTCCCTTGAAAAAGAGATTGTTAATATCAGTGGGACTTTTCCTGGTTAAATAAAGGAAAGAAAGAAATATGGTTGTGATGCCTCAAAGTCAACTGTAGTGTATAATATTGTGTGGATGTTAAAGCTCCAATGTGTTTTTCAGCGACATCTAATTGTCATTAGCGCTCCGTCTTATGCCAGGCCTCTCAGAGGCAATGCTGTGTGGCAAGCTGCCGCCTATGCCGCTGTGGTTCCTTTGGCCCCAGACGGCGGCATAGCTGACCAGCGTGTCCAGTTTGTTCTCCCACTGACATCCCGCTGCTCCTGCCTGAGGTCAGGAAGGCTGTCTCTCCTTACCTCTGTTGTCCAGGGGATTCGTGTGTTTTTGGCACTCTGACCACAAAGAGATCATTGATAATTGAACTTTTATTGATCTCACATTGGAGAAATTTATCTCTGCATTTAACCCATCCCCTTGGGGAGCAGTGGGCACGGCACCCCGGGAGCAGTGTGGGGTTAAGGAACTTGCTCAGGAACACAGAGTGGAGGCTGTGGGGATCGAACGAGGGACAGTACTTGCAACCTTCTCAGAGCACAAGCGCACTGCTCTAACCACTAGGTAGGCCAACTCTCCCCCTTTGCCCAGATGCGGGTCTGCTATGACAAAAATAAATAAAAATTGCAATAATCAGTGCTTGAAATTCAAGATTCAAGATTCAACAGATTCATTCAAGATTCAAGAAGAAATCCTGTAATCTTTTAAGCCTAATTTACATATATCTTTTTAGAATTAGTATATTATTAGTCTGTGTAGGATTGTATAGAAGCCTAAATTGCCACATCCCCATTCAAGTGTAATGCTGATCTCTATAGTCACTAGTTTGACAGCTTTGAGCTGCCATAGTCAGAGGCGTAGCCAAAAAATTTTTATAAGGGTGGCCAGGCAATAACCAATGGACACTGAAAGGTGGACGGAAGTGGATAGGTGTCAGAACCTCAGGGTCAATCTACACCATTCCAACAGGAAAAATAATGAGCACAACATCCATATTTGCTAAATAAAGACTAACTATATTTTCTTACAGCCTTTCCTAACAAATAGCTGAATAGATTTCAACATCTGTGCTTTCCAGATAAAAGGTAGAGTGTATACAGTTCTTTTCGGTTAGAGTTCTGCGGCGAACATCTTTTCCATTGTCATTACTTACCTACTTTTATCAATAATCATTATGCATAAAATTGATATTTACAAGTACTAATACCTACAGAAATTGATTATTTAATAAGTTTTTATTAAAATGTTATTTATCTATGATTTCACTGAAGACTCCTACATGATTTGCAGATACACATCATTTTCTCTTTACCCCATATCACACAAAATCTAGTTCTGAAAAGAGCAGGAATTCTGTACTTATCATCTTTAATATTAGTATATTGATGTGCATAGTTTACCACATTGTTTTTGTTGTCAAGTAATTGTTAATGTTTTCAATATTCTACTTGAGAGTATTACTGCTCCCAACATCTGTATTAGAAGGGATAAAATGGTAGGGGTGGCCACAGGGGTGGCCATTGCTTGGCTAACGGTGGCCATGGCCACCTCTGTCATCACTTGATCCGTCCCGGAAGCATGATCCGTTCTGCGCATACGCCATCAGCTCATTTGTGCATCCACATATACATGCGGGTCGCCCTCGATTTTATTTTGTTAAAAAGACCTAAATGACGTTCCCCCAAAATTGCAAGTATACAAAAATATAACATGTTAAAGGTTAATGTATTTCCTGAGAAAATAAATGCCTTAAAATGCTTTCTGTTTTAACACTCGTCTGTGCCTGATCTGCACCGGAAATGCAATCCTACCCTACTTCCAGTAGCTAACTTTTTCGGCTTTGGATTTAAACATAAATCTATTCTTTTTGAGTTTTATATATATTTCTTTGTGTTAACATTATGGTATATAGTGCGGAATTTAAAGAAAGAAACAACTAAAATGCAGATAAACATAGTTTAATCATATTTCGGCTGACTGCTCTGAGCATGTCTGATGATGTCACACGAGCAGTTTAACAAAGAACATGTGATAAGCATCAAAATTGTCTCACAAAACTCATAACATTTTTTTTAAAGATGCGTATTAGCATTCTTTGAAGAGTTAAGGGTAGAAATAAGTAATTCTAGTACCATAATTACATTATTTATGGAATACCCGGATGTATCTGTTTGCGCATACGCAGAACGGATCGTGCTTCTGGGATAGATTGGGTAGTGACAACCCCTGGCCCCCCATCTAGCTCCGCCCCTGGCCATAGTGCAAAAGATATCTGCCTCCACAAATGTGAATCCCCTGTATTTATAAATATCGATTTCTAAGGCAAAGCAAACATAAACATTGAGAATTCCAGTTCATATGTGAATATGAAATAACAAACACATAGATAATACATTTTATTTATGTTAGTAAATCCCTGTAATTATTACACACTGTACCTTTAAGTCCAAT